ACCTTTCATAAGGCCATGAGCGCGCGTCAAAGTTCAAAATCCGCGCGTGCTGCTATGGGCAATATAATGCAAATTAGATCAAAAACATCCCATTTTAAAAATCAAGATACCTCTTCAGAAAGTCAATTGACCCCAACTTTTATATCATGGTTCAAAAAAGCATGAGTTGGAGATATGATTTCGTGTGTCATTTTACCCTCAATTAACTTATGACGTCATCATAATGGCCTCCGAACTCATAATTTTAATTTGCATATTATGACGTCAGCAGATTTTTGGAAAATTTATTGTATCTCTGTAAATATTGATCAATTTTCTTTCAAATTTTGATATGTTCTACCTGAGAATATTCTCTACAAATGCAGTTGTCACGATATTTCATTTTGACAATGGTATCATGGCGTATTTTCGCGATTAAAGGAGGCATGTCAATTTTTCACATTTTGCGTGTATTCTCTATGGGACATGACTTTTTCTCAAGACTGGATTCTACATTCTCGTCTTTCGCGAGCAATATCTCTGTCGTGTTATCTTTGTTTACGCTGAGCTTTAAGTATGTTGTAGCTGAGAAAATAAGCTATCACAAATGTGCCCTTCATTTTTCGATCAGATGCCGGGATCATGCTCATGTTTCACTTACAATGTGGGATTTGATAATTCCATTTTCCGTTTACGTGTAATCTCTATGGGAAATGTTTTGGTATATCGGTAACGCACTTGACTTCCGACCTCGAGGTTTTTTTTCTTCACTTTTTTTTTCTTTTTGACCTTTCACTCTACCATCTCCTTTGAATTTAAAAACACGTACAATCGCAAATAATGTAATAAACAACCATATTTACTTTATTATTACCCTATTATCACTAGATCCATTACTTTTGGCGTGTAATCCTTATGGGAGATGACTTTTTCTCAAATCTGGATTCTACATTCTTGTCTTTTGCGAGCAATATCGCCGTTATTTCGGCTTGGTTTTTGTTGATTTTTTAGTATGTTGTAGCTGAGACTATACGCTATCTAAATGTTCTTTAAATTTTGTTCAGTCTGATGTCATCGTGGTCTGTTGATGATAATCATCAACATCATCATGATGATCATCATCATCATCATCGTCATCAACATTACTATCAAGATCATCATCATGATCATCATGATGATCATCATTTTTTACATGTCTATATAACTTCTCCCTTTCTCAATATTATATTGAGAAAGGGAGAAGTTATATTATATTGAGAAAGGGAGAAGTTATATAGACATGTAAACAATGATGATCATCATGATAATCATGATGATGATCTTGATAGTAATAGTAAATATTATAATCTCTCATAAGACTTGAAGACAGACCACCTAATTCGTCCCCATGACGATTTAAATTTCTAGTTTTTCTTATTTCTAACCACTTTTTTGTGGACAAGATAACTTGGAAATGGCTGAAACAAATGCCTTGAAATTTGGCACACATATGTATAGGCATATGTACAAAGCAAAATAACTTTTTCGACATTGACCTTAACTGATGACGTCATCTAGGCGCCATTTTGTAAAATTTTACGAAAATCAATTCATGATCATATCTTCATAACCAAAACCTATTTACCATTCATATTTATCATAATAAAGGTTAATATCCGTCCGGTCAATTTCAGGTCAAAGAACGCGCGCGTGCGCGTACGTCCGCGCGTCAATGCGCGCGCAAAATTTGAAAAGGCTCAAAATCGTCTCAAAATCATTTTGCATACGTTTTAGGCCATTCTAAGCATTTTATAAAAATTCGCGCACACGCGCCTGCGCGCGCGTTTTCGCGCGTACAACTATTACACAACAATTTGCATATTATGATGTCAGCATATTTATGTAAACTTGATTGTATCTCTGTAAATATTGATCGATTTTCTTCAAAATTTTGATATGTTCTAGCTGAAACAATTTTCTACAATTTTTTTTTTTTTTTCATTTTGACAAAGGCATCATGGCGTATTTTTGCGATTAAAGGAGGCATGTCAATTTTTTCACATTTGACGTGTATTCTCTATGGAACATGACTTTTTCTACAAACTTGATTCTACATTCCCGTCTTTCGCGAGCAATATCTACGTCGTTTTAGCTTCATTTACACTGACCTTTGAGTATGTTGTAGCTGAGACAAAAAGCTATCGCAAATGTACCCTTCATTTTGTCTCAATTTTTTGTTGGATCGGCCCACCTATACTTGTTCCAAACAAGTATTACAAATCTAGTTATAACTGTTTTCCTATCTATTAGTCAAACAACTCAATGGTAATTTACGGAAACCTTGGATTACGCAAATAATATTGAATTCAGTGAAACGTTAACATAGATTATATGAAAATAGCTTAAAAAGGCCTAGTGTCAATCATGAAAGAAAATATTTAGATTATAAAAATAAATTAACAAATATCATAAGAGCGTCAAAGTGGAAATATTACGAGTCTTTGTTTTATAACTTAAAGAATGATATGAAAAAACATAGTCGCAGATCAATATAATACTTGGTAAAAGGAAACAGAATAAACTACCTGTAATGTGTTATGCGCTATAAAAGAACTGAGTATTATTATTATTATTATTACCTCAAAATATTTATCACGGAAATATAAAATTGAGTAGTAGGAAAGATATTGCAAAAGAGTTTAATACATTTTTTATTGACATAGGTAAAAAAAAACTATCAAAATCGATTCAAACACCTAATTACTCTCATGATAAATACCTTGTTAACCCAAATTTAAATTCATTTTATGTTAAATCAACAAGTATTCATGAAATTATCAAATTGTCTTCTCTGTTAAAAATAGAAAAGTCAAGTGGACCTGACTGCATTTCACCTAAAGTTAATAAAATTGTATTTATTATTTTGTTAATCCATTGTGTGACATATTTAATAAATCTTTGAATAGTGGAATCGTCCCAGATAAATTAAAAGTTGCCAAAACTGTACCCTTATACAAAACAAATGATGTTAAAAATATAGAAAATTATAGACCCATAGCCTTGCTTTCTCTAATGCATGAAAGGTTGTATGATTATTTACTAAAACATAATGTTCTTTTTTCAGAGCAGTTTGGTTTTCGTAAAAACTATAGCACTGATCTGAGTATTGTAAATTTTACTAAAAATATTCTACATGAAATTAATAATGGAATGTTTTGTTATGAATTTGTTATATACCTTGAATATACCTTGAAGTCCACACCTCGCCATCGTGGTGATGAAGATCCCGTAGAAAGTGTAGTGTGGCAAGGTTAAGGGGGTCTCATGGGACCCATTTAAAAACCCAGGTTGGATAGTTGTTGTTTGAAGCTTAGGAGTGTGGAGCTTATGGATCTATCTATGGCATTTGACACCATCGACCACCATATTTTACTTAAAAAACTGTACCATTACGGTATACGCGGTATACCTCATTAGTGGTTTTCTGATTATTTCTATAATAGAAAACAATATGTGGTGGTCGATGGTGTCGAATCTGATTATATGGATGTAAATACTGGAGTTCCGCAAGGATCGGTTCTCGGACCACTTTATTTAATCAGCTCATCCAAATTACTTATGTTTTCATTATTTGCTGATGATACGGTTGTATATTATTCTCATTATAATGCAGCACACTTAATTTCTATTTTAAATGATAATTTAATACAATGGAATGATTGGTTTAAATGTAATAAATTATTTTTGAATTATGAAAAAACTAAATATGTAATTTTTCACACAAAGAAAAAGAAAGTTCCAAATGACACCAATCCCGTTAGAATAGCGAATGTAACTATTGAACGAGAACTAAGTGTTATTTTTGTAGGAACTAATATTGAAGAAACTCTAGATTTGAAATGTCATATTGATTATGTTCTAAAATTTCTATAAGTATTGGTGTCTTGTCTAGACTAAAGAATTTTCTCCCAAGAAACATATTAATGAATATTTACAATGCAACACTTCTTCCCCACTTAAATTATTGCAATATCACTTGGGGTAATACTTACAAAACGAAACTGTTCAAGATTTATATGTTACAGAAACGTGCAGCTCGGTTAATAACAAATAGTCTTTATATGTCTCCAAGTTTACCATTATATATTAAACTGAAAATTATTCCTGTATATGATTTGATCAAACTTAATACAAGTATATTTATGTTTAAATTTCATTAAAAAAACCTGTTACCATCTGTTTTTAATAATATGTTCCAAACAAATTATTCTATTCAGAATTACCCCACTCGTCAAAGTCTAAACATACATCACCCACTCTGTCGTTCAACTTCACTGTATAATTATTTATCATTTGTTGGGGTACGGGAATGGAATTCCTTGAATCATGACCTAAGATCCAGTTCTACAATTACCAGATTTAAATCAATGTATAAAAAAAAAGTATTTTTCAATCCATGGTTAAGTAAGTACTTCTCTTTCCCATCTTCTTTCTACTTTTATCTCTTCCTGTCCTATTTTTCGCTCCTTTCTATTCTTTCTCTGTAACCTTCTTTATGGATGTGTGTGTGTGTTAATGTACGGGCGCGTACTTGTATTATTCAAGTCTTTTACTTTTATTGTTAATTTATAATTTGCATTATCTTGTTATTGTTTGTTTGCAGGGCCTCGATTACAAGCAGATTTCTGCTTCTTAGGGGTCCTAACCATTATGTTGTATATTGCACATTGTATTTTCATTGTAAATTGTTTTTTATACTGGTTGAATGAAATGAAATGAAATGAAATATATTACTCAACATGTCATACAGAACGCAGGAATTGCATTTAAAGTTTACTTTGCGGAATCAACCAAAATGCATTCAAAGTTTACTTTGCGGAATCAATCACCACAAGTTGCTCCACTCAGATTTCTCGATGAACTAATAATTATCACTATAATGATACTCAACATGACATATGGAACACATAAATCACATTAGAAGTTTTACTTTACAAAACTGACCAATATGACTTCTTTAACAATAACTCATTTAAACATACCGTCAAGCACTAGACAACGAACTCCAGCATCTTCATAATGGCCACAGTTATTGACTCCAAGTCCTAGATGCGAGCATTCAAAGAGACTCGATTCGTTTCGAAAGCAATTGACGTCATCGAGGACGATGGTTCCAGTGCCTGGGCCGAATCCAGCTGATGATACAGCTTCAAGAGCACCAGCAAAACCGAGAGATCGACAAACCACGATGGCATCGTTTGTATCCCAACCATCATCACAAACAGTTCCCCATTCTCCGTTGTAGCTCACCTCTACACGGCCTTCAGAATCCGAGGTGCCTCCCACAAGACGTACCTCACCATCTGTAACAAGAGGAATTTATTTATTCTTATTGACTTTTATTTTCTTTAAAAAAAATTATAATTCAGATAATCATTGCAACTTTCAATTGTTTTATCTGAATGATATATATTCCTAATCATCACTGTAATGAGCGTACGCGTTTATGAAAAGTCCAGAACTACTACATTTACATAAATTACTTCATTCAGATTCGTGATATAATAAGAAATATAACTATCATGATACTCAACATGTCATATAGAACGCAGGAATTACATTCAAAGTTTACTTTGCGGAATCATCCAAAATGACTTTATAACCAATAAGTCATCTAAACATACCTTCAGGCACAAGACAACGAACTCCAGCATCTTCTGAATGGCTACAGTTATTCACCCCAAGGCCTTGATTCGAGCATTCAGAGAGACTGGATTCAATTCCAGAGCAATTGACGTCATCAAGGACGATGGTTCCAGTGCCTTGGCCGAATCCAGCCGATGATACAGCTTCAAGAGCACCAGCAAAACCGAGAGATCGACAGACCACGATGGCATCGTTTGTATCCCAACCATCATCACAAACAGTTCCCCATTCTCCATTGTATCTGACCTCTACACGGCCTTCAGAATCCGAGGTGCCTCCCACAAGACGGACTTCACCATATGTAACAAGAGGAAATCATTTGTTCTTATTGACTTTTATTTCCTTTAAAAAAAAATTATAATTAAGATAATCATTGCAACTTTCGGTTGTTTTATCTGAATGATGTATATTCATAATCATTACTGTTACGAACGTATACGTTAGAGAAAACTCCAGAACTACCTCTTTTACTACAAATTACTCCACTCAGATTTCGTGATATACTAAAAAAAATTACTTTCATTATACTGAACATGTCATATAGAACGCATGAATTGCATTAAAAGTTTCACTTTACGAAACGGACCAAAATGATTTTTTTTTTTAACAATAACTCATTTTAACATACCTTCAAGCATTAGACAACGAACTCCAGCATCTTCTGAATGGCCACAGTTATTGACTCCAAGACCTCGATTCGAGCACTCAAAGATACTCGATTCGATTCCAAAGCAATTAACGTCATCAAGGACGATGGTTCCAGTGCCTTGGCCGAATCCAGCCGATGATAAAGCTTCAAGAGCACCAGCAAAACCGAGAGATCGACAGACCACGCTGGCATCGTTTGTATCCCAACCATCATCACAAACAGTTCCCCATTCTCCGTTGTAGCTCACCTCTACACGGCCTTCAGAATCCGAGGTGCCTCCCACAAGACGTACCTCACCATCTGTAACAAGAGGAAATCATTTGTTCTTATTGACTTTTATTTCCTTAAAAAAAAAATTATAATTAAGATAATCATTGCAACTTTCGATTGTTTCATATGAATGATGTATTTTCATAATCATCACTGTTAAGAACGAACACGTTAATGAAAAGTCCAGAACTACCACTTTTACCATGAGTTACTCCATACAGATTTCGTGGAATACTAAGAAATATAACTACCATGTTACTCAACATGTCTTATAGAACGTAAGAATTACATTCAAAGTATACTTTGGGAAATCAACCAACTTGACTTCATTAACAAAAAATCATCTATGCATACCTTCAAGTACCGGACAACGAACTCCAGCATCTTCTGAATGGCCACAGTTATTGACTCCAAGACCTCGATGCGAGCATTCAAAGAGACTCGATTCTTCTCCAGAGCAATTGACGTCATCAAGGACGATGGTTCCAGTGCCTTGGCCGAATCCAGCCGATGATACAGCTTCAAGAGCACCAGCAAAACCGAGAGATCGACAGACCACGCTGGCATCGTTTGTATCCCAACCATCATCACAAACAGTTCCCCATTCTCCGTTGTAGCTCACCTCTACACGGCCTTCAGAATCCGAGGTGCCTCCCACAAGACGTACCTCACCATCTGTAACAAGAGGAAATTATTTGTTCTTATGACTTTTATTTCTCTCTTTTTAAAATTATAATTCAGATAATCATTGTATCTTTCGATTGTTTTATATGAATGATGTATATTCATACACATCACTGTTAAAAACGTACACGTTTATAAAAAGTCCAGAACTACCTCTTTTACCACAAGTTACTCCACTCAAATTTAATGAAATACTAAGAAATATAACTACCATGATACTCAACATATCATATAGAACGCAGGAATTACATTCAAAATATACTTTGCGAAATCAACCAACTTGACTTTATTAACAATAACTCATCTAAATATACCTTCAATTACCGGACAACGAACTCCAGCATCTTCTGAATGGCCACAGTTATTGACTCCAAGTCCTCGATGCGAGCATTCAAAGAGACTCGATTCGTTTCCAGAGCAATTGACGTCATCAAGGACGATGGTTCCAGTGCCTTGGCCGAATCCAGCCGATAATACAGCTTCAAGAGCACCAGCAAAACCGAGTGATTGACAGACCACGCTGGCATCGTTTGTATCCCAACCATCATCACAAACAGTTCCCCATTCTCCGTTGTAGCTTACCTCTACACGGCCTTCAGAATCCGAGGTGCCTCCCACAAGACGTACCTCACCATCTGTAACAAGAGGAAATTATTTGTTCTTATTGACTTTTATTTCCATTTTTTAAAAATTATAACTCACATATCATTGCAACTTTCGATTGTTTTATCTGAATGATGTACATTCATAATCATCACTGTTAAGAACGTACACGTTTATAGAAAGTCCAGAACTACCACTTTTACCACAAGTTACCCCACTCAGATTTCGTGGAATACTAAGAAATATAACTATCATGATACTCAACATGTCATATAGAACGCATGAATTGCATTAAAAGTTTTACTTTACGAAACGGACCAAAATGACTTTTTTAACAATAACTCATTTTAACATACCTTCAAGCACTAGACAACGAACTCCAGCATCTTCTGAATGGCCACAGTTATTGACTCCAAGACCTCGATTCGAGCACTCAAAGATACTCGATTCGATTCCAAAGCAATTAACGTCATCAAAAACGATGGTTCCAGTGCCTTGGCCGAATGAAGCTGATGAGACTGCTTCCAGAGCACCACCAAAACCGAGTGATTGACAGACCACGCTGGCATCGTTTGTATCCCAACCATCATCACAAACAGTTCCCCATTCTCCGTTGTAGCTTACCTCTACACGGCCTTCAGAATCCGAGGTGCCTCCCACAAGACGTATATCACCATCTGTAACAAGAGGAAATCATTTGTTCTTATTGACTTTAATTTCCTTTAAAAAAAAATTATAATTAAGATAATCATTGCAACTTTCGATTGTTTCCTATGAATGATGTATTTTCATAATCATCACTGTTAAGAACGAACACATTTATGAAAAATCCAGAACTACCACTTTTACCATGAGTTACTCCATACAGATTTCGTGGAATACTAAGAAATATAACTACCATGTTACTCAACATGTCATATAGAACGTAGGAATTACATTCAAAGTATACTTTGCGAAATCAACCAACTTGACTTTATTAACAATAACTCATCTACACATACCTTCAAGTACCGGACAACGAACTCCAGCATCTTCTGAATGGCCACAGTTATTGACTCCAAGGTCTCGATGCGAGCATTCAAAGAGACTCGATTCGTTTCCAGAGCAATTGACGTCATCAAGGACGATGGTTCCAGTGCCTTGGCCGAATCCAGCCGATGATACAGCTTCAAGAGCACCAGCAAAACCGAGAGATCGACAGACCACGCTGGCATCGTTTGTATCCCAACCATCATCACAAACAGTTCCCCATTCTCCGTTGTAGCTTACCTCTACACGGCCTTCAGAATCCGAGGTGCCTCCCACAAGACGTACCTCACCATCTGTAACAAGAGGAAATTACTTGTTCTTATTGACTTTTATTTCCTTTAAAAAAAAATCATAATTTAGATAATCATTGCAACTTTCGATTGTTTCATATGAATGATGTATTTTCATAATCATCACTGTTAAGAACGAATACGTTTATGAAAAGTCCAGAACTACCACTTTTACCATGAGTTACTTCATACAGATTTCGTGGAATACTTAGAAATATAGCTACCATGTTACTCAACATGTCATATAGAACGTAGGAATTACATTCAAAGTATACTTTGAGAAATCAACCAACTTGACTTTATTAACAATAACTCATCTATACATACCTTCAAGTACCGGACAACGAACTCCAGCATCTTCTGAATGGCCACAGTTATTGACTCCAAGACCTCGATGCGAGCATTCAAAAAGACTCGATTCGTTTCCAGAGCAATTGACGTCATCAAGGACGATGGTTCCAGTGCCTTGGCCGAATCCAGCCGATGATACAGCTTCAAGAGCACCAGCAAAACCGAGAGATCGACAGACCACGCTGGCATCGTTTGTATCCCAACCATCATCACAAACAGTTCCCCATTCTCCGTTGTAGCTCACCTCTACACGGCCTTCAGAATCTGAGGTGCCTCCCACAAGACGTACCTCACCATCTGTAACAAGAGGAAATGATTTGTTCTTATTAATTTTATTTCCTTTAAAAAAAAAATTATAATTAAGATAATCATTGCAACTCCATTGTTTCGTATGAATGATGTATTTTCATAATCATCACTGTTAAGAACGAACACGTTTATGAAAAGTCCAGAACTACCACTTTTACCATGAGTGACTTTATATAGATTTCGTGGAATACTAAGAAATATAACTACCATGTTACTCAACATGTCTTATAGAACGTAGGAATTACATTCAAAGTATACTTTTCGAAATCAACCAACTTGACTTTATTAACAATAACTCATCTATACATACCTTCAAGTACCGGACAACGAACTCCAGCATCTTCTGAATGGCCACAGTTATTGACTCCAAGACCTCGATGCGAGCATTCAAAGAGAATCGATTCGTTTCCAGAGCAATTGACGTCATCAAGGACGATGGTTCCAGTGCCTTGGCCGAATCCAGCCGATGACACAGCTTCAAGAGCACCAGCAAAACCGAGAGATCGACAGACCACGATGGCATCGTTTGTATCCCAACCATCATCACAAACAGTTCCCCATTCTCCGTTGTAGCTGACCTCTACACGGCCTTCAGAAACCGAGGTGCCTCCCACAAGACGTATTTCACCATCTGTAACAAGAGGAAATGATTTGTTTTTATTGACTTTTATTTCCTTGTTTTTAAATTTTAATTCAAATAATCACTGGAACTTTCGATTGTTTTATCTGAATGACATATATTCATAACCTTTATAGTTAATAACGTACATGTGTATGTCAAGTTTAGGACTACCATTTTCACCACAGTTGCTCCACTCAGATTCTCGATGAAATAATAATATCACTATCATGATACTCAACATGTCATATAGAACACAGAAATCACATCAAAAGTTTTACTTTACGAAACTGACCAATATGACTTTTTTAACAATAACTCATTTAAACATACCTTCAAGCACTTGACAACGAACTCCAGCATCTTCTGAATGGCCACAGGTATTGACTCCAAGACCTCGATTCGAGCACTCAAAGAGATTCGATTCTTCTCCAGAGCAATTGACGTCATCAAGGACGATGGTTCCAGTGCCTTGGCCGAATCCAGCCGATGATACAGCTTCAAGAGCACCAGCAAAACCGAGAGATCGACAGACCACGCTGGCATCGTTTATATCCCAACCATCATCACAAACAGTTCCCCATTCTCTGTTGTAGCTGACCTCTACACGGCCTTCATAATCCGAGGTGCCTCCCACAAGACGTACCTCACCATCTGTAACAAGAGGGAATTACTTGTTCTTATTGACTTTTATTTCTTCTTTTTTAAAATTATAATTCAGATAATCATGGCAACTTTCAAGTGTTTTATCTGAATGATGTATATTCATAATCGTTACTGTAAATAACGTACATGTTTATGAAAAGTCCAGAACTACCACTTTTACCACAAGTTACTCCACTCAGATTTTGTGATATACTGGGAATATATAACTATCATGATACTCAATATGACATATAGAACGCAGGAATTACATTCAAAGTTTACTTTGCGGAATCAACCAAAATGACTTTATAAACAATGATTCATTTAAATATACCTCCAAGCACTAGACAACGAACTCCAGCATCTTCTGAATGGCCACAGTTATTGACTCCAAGACCTAGATTCGAGCATTCAAAGAGACTCGATTCTTCTCCAGAGAGCAATTGACGTCATCAAGGACGATGGTTCCAGTGCCTTGGCCGAATCCAGCCGATGATACAGCTTCAAGAGCACCAGCAAAACCGAGAGATCGACAGACCACGCTGGCGTCGTTTGTATCCCAACCATTATCACAAACAGTTCCCCATTCTCCGTTGTAGCTGACCTCCACACGGCCTTCAGAATCCGAGGTGCCTTCCACAAGACGTACTTCACCATGTAACAAGAGGAAATCATTTGTTCTTATTGACTTTTTTTCCTTTTTTACAAATTATAATTCAGATAATCATGGCTACTTTCGATTGTTTTGTCTGAATGATATATATTCATAATCATTACTGTTAAGAACGTCCACGTGTTTGTCAAGTCCAGAACTACCCCTTTTACCACAAGTTACTCCACTCATGATTTCTATTATGATACTCAACATGTCATATAAAATACGGGAATTACGTTCAAAGTTTTCTTTGCGGAATCGACCAAAATGACTTTATATACAAAAGTCCGTGGGCCAAAGGGGGCTACCGTGCACCCCCTCCCCCTATGACCCTACTTCTTGTGTGTCATTTTGTTCATTGGGGTCCATTTTATCGGATAAATCCTTTCTCTGGCATAATGGAAAACTACAGTTCATATCAAAAGTGGGCTCGAACATATGCAGATATGACGTTTGATGCTCACCGTGGATATAAACACAGAGAGCAACAACCAACTTAGATAAGGAAAAGTGAGGGATGTGTAAACAAAAAAGGCCATACATGATGAAAAGAGCTTCCTCGATCCGTTGATGTTGATGACAAGAATGGATTGTATGTTTTCTCTTCCAGTGCCCGCGTTCCAGCTGAGGTTGAGAAAGATGTCATGCATGTAGTTACCACAGGGAAAACCAGAAAGAGATGTTCATCAAAGAGCAATTAGAGAAAAAGAGACATCGTTCTCTGACCCCATCAAGAACCGGAAGCTCAAAACCGTGGCAGAGACCAACGAGAAGTAATAGAGTACAAGCAACAAAGGAACATTGGTTTCCAGCTGACGGTAAAGGCACAAAGTTCTGGCAGCCGACTTGATCTACGGGAAACCATGAATATTCTTTGACCCCCGTTCCTTATTCAATTCAATTCAATTCATTTCATTTATTTTTCCTCTTTGAATTGTTCATATTTACAATGATGGTACATTTTAAAATATTCACATATTCATATACATATACATATAGATCAGTTTGCACAAGACAATACATTAACAAAAATAAACATGAAATTGAAAGGGAAGGAGGGCCGACTAAAAAGCAGAGCTTGTAGGGTGTAAGCCCCCCCCCCCCCCCCCCTGTAAAAGTTATTATTATGAATTATTATTTCGTGAGAAAACTTCTTTGCTAAGACAGATAAATTTAAGGGCCTACACTAGCTCCTGAAGGATGTAGAGAACTCGCAACCTCCACCTATACTGACAAGACCTTGTTAGTGGAAGATGGTAATGCTATGTTCTACTACCTAAAAGAGATGCCTGCAAACTTCCACAATTGTTGCATCAAAATTCACAATATAGTGTCGTCCAAATGCGATGTCATCTTCAGCAAAGTCATACAAGCCAGAATCTGTGAAGTCACGTTGAGTGAATGATTCAATCCCAATGAAGCCGAGCAAAAACGACAAACCACCTGAGCGCTCTGGAGATTCCAAGAATCCGCGCATAGAAGCCCCCTGCTTGAACCATCATCTATGAGAACGAGACCTCCTCCCGGTGCATTACCATGAAGTAAAGAGATGATCAGTCCTGCTTCCAGATTTTCTATGGTTAAGATTGAAGAATTTTTTATATTCCCAAAGTTAATTCATCTGACCCATAACACCCTTATAACGATGGTGGAGTAGTTTTAATGTGAAACAACAACCTCGTACTGGTCCTTCTCCATATAGTTCAATACGTAGCATAGGCGCGGCATGATATCTGATTGGTAGCAGACGTACATACTGGCATACTTTAACCGAGGGCAATGTGTTATACACCACCGTGTTAGCGTCCGTATTGCCCACGAAGACCTTAAAGAAATCCAAAGAACATGCAATACTATTTCAACATATCTCATAACAAACAAATGAATCTGAATTTCTTTTAATCTCTACATAAAACAACAATGTACACAATGGGTCGCTGGGAAGGGGTATATACGAGGACGTGACATCGATTTATTCTTACTTAATGATAATAATTTGTTTACAACATACATACATACATATAAAGATATATTCATATAGAGGGGAAAAAGAAGGTAGGGCAGAGGCAGTAAGAAAGAGAGAACATTTGAAGTCCTGGGACAGAAATACTAAATAAAAGCATAATATCTTTTTCTTTTCATTACTACTTGTCATTAATTATTGTATAAACCATTGACAAAATTGTTATATTTGGATGCAATTTTTCTTGCTCGTTTGTTTGATGCTTTGTTTTGTTTCTTACTTCTTAGGATACAGGAAATTGACACCTACCTTATCGGCTACGGGCTCGCTGAGGGCGTCTTGTACTATATCGAACGTAATACCGTCTATGCTGCATGCTACCTTAAAGCTTGTAACCCATTGGTTAATGTTTTGACGACCTTGTATTGCAACTCCAGTGATGCGATAAGTAGTAGACAGGTCAACCTTGGAAAGACGAATAATAACATACACCTTTTCCCAATATATTGAAATGAACTTGTAACATTAGGACAAAAGCAAATAATCATTATATAATTTTAATCGGCATTCTGTTTTAATTCCTATTCCTAGAGGTTTTTGTCTGCCAATAAGCCTTTTCGTAAATACTATCTGCGCATGGGCAGATAAAGGTAATTTCTGATAAAATTGTAAAACCCACCGACAGGAATACATGCTCATGTTCTGAATCATTAGGGACTTTTAGATTTGCACGAAGACAATGTGGATTGCTACAGTCGAAGTCCTTTTAATACACTGCCTTGAATGGACGTCACACGTATCAGTCCACGCAAATCTAAAAGTCCCTATTATTCATGTGTGCACCTACGGTACATTCTATGATACAAGAGGGCAAACAAAAGCTTTTCATGAAGCACATACATGACTTGGCATTGATTATTCTAAAATACCCAAAGTGGGACTTCTCCATGAGTAAAACATCTGTGGATATTTGGGGTCATTTGACCCATGTGCTAACTACGAAAGGCTTATTAATATGTATCGGGAGACGAGAGAGAAAGGCGGACCGATCTTACCTGGATCCATTGTTGAGTGCTAGTAATACCTCCAAACCAGGCTGTACCTGTGTTCAGGCGTGCTCTCTCGGGGCCTAATCCCGGATGTACATAAGATGCTGTCAGGCTTGAATCCGGGATGGCTCCACTTTCCATACCCAGAGGAACCCCGGGAGGAGGAACATTCTGCAACGCTCCTGTTGGTAGAATTTGATATTAATTTTAAATTGTAGTTGTTTCAGAGAATGCGCAGATAGTTAACAAAAATATCACGGCCTCCCGTTATACGCCAGACTTCTTAAAGGTAAAACAAAGTTTTGGAATGGGGTCATGAATTTGGTTCAAATGAACATATTGGAAGCATATGCGATTTTACAATATTTTGTAATCGTTGTCGCAGTTGAAATCGAGTCTAAAGTTGTGAAATTTTAGATAATAAACTCTTTATGTTGTAAAGCTCCCTCTTGAGGCCAAGATAGTAATTAAGCTATAAAACAATGTTTCTTGACTAGAATCGACCGATTAGCTATTCCCGTTTGGAAATTATATATCACAACTACATATTCTGAGATTTTCATGGTCGCAGCTACCATTGTACGGCCGTAGTCGCTATTCAAAATTTACCGGGAGCACCGGTAAATTTTTATATTCAATTTTTCTCGAAAGCAGAAGTGTTTTAGGGACTAAATTGTCTAGTGCGTATGATACATCGACATGGGCATCCAAATATATCAAAATTGTAAAGAATCACTATCCACCCAATTTTCAAAATTCCCAAAACTTTGTATTACCTTTAAAAAACCTCTCAATGTGGCAGAGGACAAAGTATGTATAGTCTTATCCACAACTACATGACGTCGTTGTAACTTGCTTGCAACGCAAACGCTCATGAAATTTGCTTAAAGAGTCCACTTTTCCACAATATCTAAATGAGTTCATTGATTTTCTTGTATGAAAGCTGACCAAACTTGAAGGGAGAATCTCTTTATAAACGTTGACGTACTTAACTCAGATATGACTTGGATGTACATTTATCTGAGTGATATCCCTCTTACCAAAGCTGTAAGTGAGAGCTGGGATTCCCAAACCAAAACCAGGAGGAAAAATAAAAACATACAGCAAAACACTTAATTCATTTAGGATTAGGTCTCGTCGAGGCTGTGACCAATACGTTTGTGCCCGTTAATATGTATGATCCGATTTTCCTTCCCACATTGGCCATTGCCCCCACAAATGTAATTATTTGCGTTGAAGTTGAACGGAATGAGGAATGGCGAGAACGCGCTGGGTTTTTATAGCTCCCGAGCTTGGACGGGATTGCACACGCTCTAGGAGCGCGTTCGAACGCACTAAGAACGAGATGAGGACGAGTTGAACTGTCTCTGAACGGGGTGGTCGGGTTAAAAACTAGTGGTGAACTAGTTATAATGGGTTTGGACGTATTGGGAACGAGGTGGAACTAGTTAATAATGGGTTTAAACTGACTACGGACTGGCTTGGACTGCATGGAAATGGCAGATTTGCCCGGTCTGAACTTGATATGAACTGACTGTGGACGGGGTACAGACGAGATGGACGTATTGAGGACTGTTTATGAACGAACTAGGATCGTATTATAGACATTATTTACACAATTTGCCCCGTCCTCAACCCATTTTACGATTTTCTAGAACGGTTCCAGAACGTAGTGAGAACTAGTTTGGTGTGATGGTGGCTTTACTTACAAGCATGTCCATGATTTTTTTTTCCGCAGTGGGATTAAACAATCATCATCAAACAAACAAATGATGCATATTTTGTGACATGTGTATAAAGGAGGAAGAAAATGACAAGTGGAGTGTAATACACCCCCCAAAAATGAAATGAGGAAGTGCGATGAATGTAGGAAGCTTGCGTGCTGGGTCCATAAACGATGCCAATATCGTGTGCAGGGTTCATAAACGTTGCCAATATCGTTGTTATCATTTCGTTCATTATGTTCCACGAAGTATAATATTACACCTATATTTAGGTCCCTCGTGATTGATAATGCTACATATAGGAACACTCTCCTTGATCTTTTGAACTCGACACTTCCTCAATCGACGCAGAAGTCAACATTAGCAAGTTTAAAGGGGAATATTAGTAGGCATTACCACATGCATACAAGTTGTTACTAATAATATAACCCATGGTGAAAACTGGTTTCACCATTATCTTTGAAAGTGTACGTAGTGTTATTAATTAATAAAAAATGACATTTTATAATGTTATAAATACAAAATATACAATCCACTTGCTTCAATGAAGAACAAGTTTACCGAGCAAGGCTTTCCCCGCTAAATTTCGCAATGTTTTTTCAGTCCATTTGATGGAACATTCTTTCAGTTTATCGTATGCACCATTTGAAGGTAGAGACTATCATTCAATTAAGCGTCGGAAATTCATTCCGTCTATAGGCACGTGTGCGAAGATTCACTCAAATTCGTCAGGAATGGCTGAAAGGTGATCCCAGGCATTCAGATTCGCGATTTGGCAGTCAATTCTTAATATGATCATTGGAATTAACATGTATGTTGTTTATGTAGACCCCACCTATTTTTGTTTAATTCCCGAAAATCAAATGAATTTTAAATAGGCCCATATTCTTTACCATTGTCCTCACTGGAGAAGCTGTCTGGTGCTACAATGAAATATTAGTACCATTACTATATCGTCATCATCATTATCAGTATTACTACTACTATTATTATTATTATATATCATTATATATTATTACATACAAATAACTATCACTATTATTATTATTATTATTGTCATCGTCATCATTATGGTCAGAATAAAAGGCGATCGCACCCTACATCCTTCACTTGATCGATTGCCTTTTTCCTTCTCCATCGTCCGTTATCTTTCTAGTCAGATTCCCCCCCCCCTCGCTTCAATATACAATCCCACGTTACGCCACTGTCATTTCTCCCCAGCATTCGCATTTATAAGGAACCATTTGCGTTGTTATTCAAGATCCCAGTTGTATGCTTATTAATATCCCTTTCGTCAGACATAACAGTGGAATTGATAATTATATAAACAATACAAGGAAGAGTTCTTAAACGAAAAACTAAAGTTTAATTGGACTGTAAACAAGTTAAAGGAGAAGCAGATATCTTGATGGAAGTAACCAGGATTACTTTTGCTTATCTTGGCGCTCAGATTCATTTCTACCCGTTGTTTTTATAACGGCATAAACGTTTGCAAATTTGATATTATATATCATATACATTTGGAACCTAATTGGAAGGAATTATCAGCATTTGATGTCTAATTAATAGAGCAATTCCCATTGTGCTAATACACTAGTTCTCTTCTTTAAAACCACTTTGAAAAACACCGTTTTTCATTGTTCTTTCATCTTTACTCAGAAAAAGTGTCAGCTATGTATCATCGTATCCGGACACCTACCCCCTACACATCCACCCCCGGATAACCACCCCCAGTCAACTACCCCCTAGGGCAGCCACCCTCTAGGACGACTACCCTCCAAGAAAACTACCTCCGGACAACTACCCCCAAGACAATTACCCCCTAGGACAACTACTCCCTAGGATAACTACCCCGGACAACTACCCCCGGACAACGACCCCCAGACAACAACCCCCTAGTATAGTTGTGCGAGGGTAGTTGTACTAGAGGATGGTTGTCGTAGGGGGTAGTTGTCCTAGAGGATGGTTGTCGTAGGGGGTAGTTGTCCTAGAGGATTGTTGTCGTAGGGGTAGTTATATGGGGTGGTTGTCCGGTAGTAGTTGACCGGGGTCAGTTGTCTGGGGGTGTCCTAGAACCGTGTATCATATGACCAATAATACAACCATGATCAAAGCTGTAACAAAAACTGGGTTAACAGTCATTTTTTATAATATTATTACAAGACATTTTCTTCCAAACCTGCTTTTCAAAGTTGAGTTTTACACTTTCGAATTATCTCTTTTTCATCTGTCTCCCTTGTCACACCCCCCCCCCCCAACTTCTCTCTCTCTCTCTCTCTCTCTTTCACTCACTGTCTCACACACACACACACACACACTCTCTCTCTCTCTCTCTCTTTATCTCTTGCTTACTCTATCTCTATCTTTTCCATCCTCCTCCTCAATTTATCAATCTCTTTTCCTCTCTCCATCTTGTTCTGAACATCAAACTCGATTCTTTTATTTCGGTTCTAGAGGGCTCTACTATTTCTATTGTCAAATCTGACTGACATGAGCGCTATACAAGAACCCACTATTATTATCATACAACTTGATCCAAATCTGTATTTTCTCTGCGACCCCAAACACTACATTGGTGTCAGTTATGAAATTCCTTATATCACGAGTATGTTTGTATCATAGCGCCTGTACAGAAATACACAAAGGCACTCTTTAAAAACACTATTTTTTTTTTGTAAGTTCAATCCCAAGTGAGTTCCATGCAGCTTTTTCTAAATAGACCTGGGGGCTCATCCGAAATGTCATTGCTATTCATTACTTTCAATAAATTGTTTAAAAAGGGCAATTTTCCTGGTGATCTTGCGAACGACAATCCAGCTTCCTTGGATATTTCAAGGACAAAATGCTATAAAATCATAAACAAAGAAACGTGTGTGACGACGTGACAAGATCCCCATTATTGAAATAGTTGGGTGTTTGAAGAATAAAATCCAGGATTTCATAAGATCACAATTTCTCAAATCTACGGTGTGGACCCATAACTACTATTCAGGAGCATGCTTAAAATCTCGAATAAGTGGTTTACCGTTTAAGTCTAAACTGAGGTCGATATTTTAGTAATCTTTGTGTGTGCTACAGAGTAAAAACTCCGTTGAATCAATGCACAGAAATGATATCATTGGTAGGTCCACCGTTGAAGTATCTTTTGTAACTATAGTCGAGTCTCACAGCGGGGTAACAACCACTCAAAGAAAAGAGGCCACTGTGTAGATCAGTATAAATTATAGAAAATATTTTTTAAATATAAACAAATTACACATCAGAAAATAAGTTCCGAGGTATAACTGATCATTAGTTGACAACTTTCCTTTTCACATTCTCATAGTTCCTTGGCACGCAAATAATGTCTATAAATATTATGTAGGCTTCAAACTTGCATTTGAAGAATATCATGCAATGAAAAACAGTGTTACTTTGAAATGAGCAAGCAATCACGAGCTGCTTCTGAACCCGCAGTTATCGATTTACTTACCCCTTTGGCATAGACAAAGCGACAGAAATAAAATACGGCCTACATAGAAATGTTCGACTTGAATCATCATTTGTTCTGCCTTTCAATTCGAACAACAATCAATGATGAAATAAAGCGACAGTAAAGATGACAGTAAGAATGACAATCCAACAAAGTTCGCATCAGTGGACGACAAAAGTAGAACGAGATGCATTCGATTAGCCAGATTGTTGGGAAGTGGAAGTGAAAAAACATAGTCCTGACATGCGTATTCATCGTCGCTAATAATGAGGAAGAGTGTTATTCATGGGGAAATCCCTCCAGCTATATTGGCCTTCAATTTCCAAACAATGCTGGGCTATTCTCGGTCGGTTCACTCTAGGGGCGTCGATAGACCATTTGACTTAGTTGGGGCGGACCAAAGGTTCAGATTTAAGCGGCCCAGCCATTAACCCCCCCCCCTAGTTTGCATAGCTATGTTATGGGATGTCTTGATGTGACAACAATTGCAACCCAAAAGGAGAGCGCTGGGAGAAAATTAGGAAAAAGGAAAAAGAACGTGACTCAATAATGAAATAGATTGCTCGAAAATGCTCTTCAAATTGCTACACATGTATTAGGTGAATCAGTAATGTGGGAACAACATTTTTAAGTCTTAAATAAAATCTGTTATAAGAGGTGTATAACACGATTATCGAAAATGCTAAAGGGTGATGTGATTAGGTCTGCGTCATTGATGCAGTGTGCAGCAAAAAAGAAAAGAAATATGGTAAACAGAGGCAGTGACCGTTTCATTTTACAACCGGGTGCCACAGAGAGAAAAGTTTAGTTAAATTAAAGATATATTATGGAATAACGTTAACATAATGAAAATAAAGTATCAGAGAGACCGCAAATTGCCCGGATATTTTTTCATTTGGGGGTATTTTGACGAGGAAAATAACATTTCAGAGATAATAAAGTGCCTTTTTCCGCCCTCGCAAAATTTAGAAACGGGATAGTTTCAGGCTGCGAGGTCCATGAATATCCCCCCCCCCAAAAAAAAAAAAAAAAAAAAAATCATGATGATATTACAATGTTCGGGCACCTTCCTGCTCGAAGGTCGTCATGGCTCGGGCAGCATATAACCCTATTTATTGTATCAAAATCAGAATAAATTTGGCCCAGTCTTGGTAAAGTAACAAGCACTGTGCACAAAATATGTATATGTGACTATACACAAATGGTGTCGGGGCTACTAACCTTGATTTCCTAATCTTTCTATGCTCATTACTCAGCCAGTATACATTTTCTAACAAAATTGTTTGGCAAATGACATTAATTTGTAATCTTGAACATTCAGTGTAAGTTCGTTTGATTCTGTGAGAATTCAATTTTTTTTTTAACAGAACTCATCTTTATCTTTAATGTGTTGGTAACATTATAACAATTGTTTACTTGTGAGCTTAACAATAATGATGATATTTTTTTTTCAGTTGTGGTTGTTACATTAAAAAAAAAATGTTGTAAGAATTGACAGTGGGTATTGGACAATATTTGGTGCAGCAGAGAGGGAGTGAGTTATTAAATATAGAGTTAAAATTTAGATTAAAAAGAACAAAGAACTGAGCCCAAGTTTGATGATTAAATTTTGATTCAAAATGAATAAAGAAAAACGAGAAATATGCACCCGTATACACGACGTATAAATATATTTTATATAATTCAAAATAATCTAGATAATTTACTGCTGAATGTGCCTGCACTGAGTTTAACTCTAACCAGAACCCCTTCAAAATCTGTATCTGCCGCTCTTCCACAAGCTCTTCTGAGGGTTCATTTATTTTCCGAATATTCGTACATCGATAAATGGTAGACCCTATACATTTCATCAATGTACTATACATTATCATTTATCTTATTTGTCATCATTATTATCATTATTGTGATTATTATCATTGTTATCATTGTTGTTATTATTATTATCAATATAGTTATTAATATCATTATGATTGTTAGTATTATTATCATCATCATTATTATCACCATCGTCATAAGAATCAACATCTTCATCATTCTCCTTTTTTAAATTGTATTCGGCCGGATCTTTTTTATGGATGTTATACAGCACATAAATTGTTTTGTCATCACACTTTCACACGTTTTCGGTGGTATACACCAACACAATGAAAGGAAGTGGGTACACAGTTCAAAAAAACATTTCCCTTGAATAATGGCAAAATTTCAGTTGCAGCCAACGTGATCGACAATATCGGCATCATAAGCCTTTTGAAAAGATTTCCGAGGTTACATGGACCGACAACCCATGAGACTGACATACAGTGGCGTACGCAGGATTTTTTCAAGGGGGGGGGGGGGTTTCAACATTTTGAAATCGGGCCGAAAAATTCGCAACGACTCAGCCAGCCGCTGCATAAGCGGGGGAGGGGGGGGGGGGGTAAGATGACACTTTTTTTTTTTTTTTTTTTTTGGTCCCCAAAAAATCGCAATGACTCAGCCAGCCGCTGAATAAGCGGGGGGGGGGGGGGTAAGAGGACACTTTGATAATTTGACATTTTCTACGTTGGGGGGTAAGGTCATCTTTTTTAGGTCAGCCATGGGCATAATTTTTTTTTGTATAATTAAAAAAAACAAAAAACAAAGGGGGGGTTTAGGGGGGTTTTCTTAAAAATACACACATAAAAATACCAAAGGAGGGGGTTTAACCCCCTAAACCCCCCTGCGTACGCGCCTGCTGACATATCAGTCTCCATTGCCTTCTGACAAATTTTCCGAGGCCGGAACTTTGTGGGTTCACAAGCTATTGGTGAACCCGGATATCCCTAAAATTTCATTTTCCTTTTTGAGTTTATCGTTATTACTGATCCAAATATAAATTGTGTGAGAATAGGACGACGTGGCCAAGAGTCCAAGGAAGAAAGGAAAACATCGGGTTTGTCAAAGCACTCTTGGCATCGAAACCCCTGTGCAGGAAATAGATAAAAGTATTTGGTACTTCCACAGGGAAGCAATACAATTTTAACCATGCTTAGTTCTACTTACTAGAAGAAAAGTGCAGACATTGACACTTGACAATAACCTTCATGAAATTATGATATAGTGTTGTCGTTGCTTATGTACATAATTATGAGGGTCAGATATTAATAGACAGTTATGTATACTTTTTGTTTACCATCTTTACCCTCTCCTAGCGCTATAGTTCTCCTTAGAACTATATGCTAAGAAAGATAACAACAGTCCTTTTCAGGACTACACACCCCCAGAAAGATTACCGAGTCAGAGTCCTTTTCAGGACTCCTCAACTCTCTCTCTCTCACATGGTGCACCCGCAAACCTACTGTATAGGCTATATAATATTTATAAAAAACATAATATGACTATTCCTTGCAATGAACGATCCATTTTTAGCGCAATGCGCTAATATGCATTGTTGTAAATACTTACTTTCTTGCACTTGCAATTTATATTCCCTACTTGAAGAAATAAAATTAAAACTTGTCACAGTGAATAAGTAAGCTATCAAGGATTTCATTTCAACTGTTTAAAATCATTATATGTATAAATATATATAACCCTTAATATTACATTAAACTGGAATCATAAAACGGGTATATTACCATAACCCTAACCCTAACCCTGAATTCAAAACAAGATAACTAATTAAACTAATGATTAATGATAGAACCTTTTGTTTCTTGGGAGGTTTTTTATTTTCCTCTGCCTACAAACGTATTAGTAGAATGCGCAGTTCTTTGTACAATCGTTTAACGGACTCGAACTGTCCTGCTAATGACCATGTCTACTTAATGTCTCATTTTTAACTACAGATGTTCTAGGCATGACGCTGTATGGTATATATGTGTATGTATTCAAAGTGCTTTAGAGTTAACATAATTATCATGCATAAAAATACCAGTGCCTTTTTTTATCAATGTCTAACCACTAATTTATCAGGATGTCCTATTTGAGTTCCTCATTCGTCATTTGAAAAGGGGACAATAATTTGTCACTGGTAAAGTGTTCAGACTTCCGTGAATCTTTGAAGGAAATAAACGGAAATTCACATGAAAAACCGGTTCACTACAACTTTCAACTTTCAAACAACAATATGCTAACATTTCAAGTGTGTTAAATACAGCGTGACTCAACAAAAATAAGGAAACCATCCTCCTCCTTCATCCTGCAATATGTCAAGAACCGGTTAAAAGGAAAGAATGAAATTAGGAAACTAAATTAGAGCGATATATAATATATATATCTATATATACATATTATATACATACACAAAACCTATACGCACCCTAAACACTCAGCACACACACACCACACACACACAATTGGATAATTTTTCATTCCTCAAGATTTTCATATATACCTTAAATAAGATATAGTAAAATACATATCGAATAAAGGAGAAGTAATACTCCTACCTACACCAACAAAGATCAAACATTCACGCTTGGATGGGCATATTCATTTATCCGTTAGAAGGTCGGTTTAATAAAATTGCAAAAAGAGCAACATAATCGCTCGGTTGTCTCATTTTCGCTCGCTGGAACCAGGCGCGGATCCAGGATTTCTTAGGGGAGGGGGCCCAACTTTTTTTTTTTTTGCTCCCGAAAATTTGAAAATCGCGCCGGCCGAAAAGCCCCCCCCCCCCCCCCCCCTGGATCCGCCAATGGCTGGAACATTGCCAGCACAAAACCACTGACCTCTACCTCCTGGACCGATCATCGCCCATTCCCATTCACTATACGTTACGTTCTAAAGGCTGTATTGTCTGACCGTTCATGAATA